CTTTATTGAAAGGAACAGTTGATGATTAATTATTTTGATTAATCTTGCATGTCTATATTTGTTTTCCTGAGTAACCACTTTGAAGTTATCAATATGTAATACAACCACCATTGTTAATTCCCTGTCACCTTGTCTGTAATTCAGTATTGTTTGTACTATTCTTGTGCTACTTTGTAAATGGTTGTCTGTTTGTTAATATGTTTTTGTTCTTTTACTTCTAAAATAAATAAATAAGTAAATAAATAGAGTTTTGTAACTTGCACCACAGTTGCTCTTAGACGATTTCCATAACCTCAAAAATAAAATTCCTACACATTTGCAGTCAACTCCCATTCTATGACCAACATACCCAATCCTAAATACCACCAATCTTTTCTCCATAGATTCAACTGTCCTACTTTCTGTCTGTACAGATTTGCCTATTCTGGACAGTTCATATCAGTGGAGTTGTGCAATATGTGGTCCTTTGTGACCAGCTTCACGTAGCAAAATGTCTTAAAGGTTTACCCGTGGTACAGCTTATGTCATTTCCTTTTTTTTTTTTTCCTGCTACCTGGAATCGAACTCACGACCTTGTGCTTGCCAGGCAGGCATTGTGCTGCTGAGCTAAATCCCCAGCCCAAGTCATTTCCTTTTATGACCAAATAATATCCCATGATGTGAACATAGCAACTTTGCCTGTCAATGACCAGTTCCTGGCACTTGGGTTGTTTCCACCCTTTTGATACTGTGGTGGCACTCATATGCATGCTTCTATAGACACCTGTGTTTTCATTTTCTCTGGGTCCATGAATTGAAGTTTCTATGAAAAAGTCAATGATCATTTTCCAATTAGTAAACTTTATTCCAACTAGTGAACTGTAAGTAGTTAATTTGGGGGAAAGGTGTTAGAGGAGCAGTTGGTGCAGGTTATGCTTAAAGTGTAAAGCAGTTTAAGAACTTAAGCCTTAAGAATAACTGTGCAGTTTCAAATCCTATAACGGAATTTCTTCAATTTATTTAACTCTGAGTTTCACTTTCTTTGACTATAAAATGTAGAAAAAATATAATAATAATTACCTTACAAGACTTGTGAGAATTAAATCAGATAGTTGTAAACTCAGTGTCAAGTACATCATCAGTGCTAATTAGTTGTTAGTAATTATTACTGGCTTTAAACAATAATATATTAAATTAAAACAATAATATATACTGCTGCATTGTTATAATAAGCATGCATTGATGCTGCAATTTTAAAAAACAAATTTAAGGAATGGGGAATATAGTTCAGTTGTAGAGTGCTTGCCTAGTATGCACAAGGCCCCCGGTTCAATCCCCAGCACCACCAAAACAAAAGAATTTAAGATGTATGAAGTTAGCCTCGGGCTGGGGATATATCTCAGTGGCATAAGTGCCTACCTGGCAAGCACAAGGTCCTAAGTTCAATTCCCAGTACCAAAAAAAAAAAATGAAGTCAGCCTTGGGGCTGAGGATATAGCTCAGTGGTAAAGAGCCTGCCTGGCAAGTGCAAAGTCCTGAGTTCGAGTCCCAGTTTTTTAAAAAAAAGAAGTCAGCCTTAATTTTGTGTGTTTACTAATTTAAACACATTCTTATATTGTCAAATCATTCTGTAAGCTGAAAAAAGTGATTTGATCCTGCTTCCTTGCTGTCTTAGACTAAATGAGAAAATGGAGATTGTTGACGTGAGGTCTGAATTGTGCTTTATTATTTTCCACTTTACAAATTAGGAGGGAATATGCACACCCAAGTTTATAGCAGCACAGTTTGTCATACCCAAATCTTGGAAACAGCACAAATGCTCATCAACTGATGAATGGATAAAGAAGGTTTTTTTATATATACAATGGAGTACTTTTCTGTCAAAGAGAATACACTTGAGACATTTCGAGGTAAATGCATGCACCTTGAGATCATATTTTTAAGTACAGGAAATCAGACACACGTGTAAAAAAAACATGAAGTAGTAATAACGTAGTCATACCATTCTTTCCAAAAGTGATCCCAAAACAAATACAGGTGGTCCCCAACTTATGAAGGCTTGACTTACGAGTCTTTGACTTTGCCATGATGAGACAGCAGTATGTGTCCAGTAGAGTCGATACTTTGAATGTGGATCTTCTCCGTGGCTAGATACATGTGGTATGATACTCGTTTGTGCTCTGGGCCGGCAGCAACAAGCCGTGGCTCCCGATCAGCCATGAAATCCTGAAGGTAAGCAATGAATACTGTACTGTGTACCATGTTACTGTAAAGTAGGCTAAGTGTCTTAAACATTTTGCCTTGATATTCGCAGTTTGTGATGAGTTTATTAGGATATAATAATTGTGTAAGTCAAGGAGCATTTGTTCCAACAATATTACGTCTGTCGCCTACAAAGGGTTACTTTAATTTTGATAATTTAGATCTTTGAAGCAAAACAATTTTAAGTAAATTTCCTTTTAGCCTTCAAGTCTTTTCGTATTACAGCAAAAAAAAAAAAAATCTGTTAATAATTATCATCTTGCCAAAGATCTTGTCTCATCTCCTTACAGTTGATTTGGCCTTCTGTTTTAATTTACTGCCTGTGGAATTGGTAATTTTATGATTTCTCTGGTGACTCCATTCTTAAATAATGATATCCTTCTGATAAGGCTTGTTCTATTTATAGGGCTCAATGAGAAATTAGATTTTTAAGAAGAAACAGAAAAAGACTAGAACTGTTAAAATGTGCTCTGGAAGCCACTTCTGCCTGTCTCCTCTTGCTGGGTTCATATTTCTAGTCCGAGGAACGGGAGTAGAGAATGGTACACTTGTAAGGCCCTCGCCCTAGCCCCTCCTGCCCATGCTTGGATTCAACAAAAGGCTGCTTTCTAGGACCCCCAAACAGGCTATCAGGGCCATTTTCCAGACGTCAGAGCCAGCACCTTTTAACCAATGAACTTGTGAGTACCTACCAGGTAACAAGGACTGTGCTTAAGACTATCTTTGTGTGTGTGTGTAACAGCTTTACTGAGTTACAGTTTGAACACCGCACAATTCACCCACTTAAGGGACATGTTTCAGTTGCTTTCCAGTATATTCACAGAACTGTGCAACCACAGTGTCAAAATATTTTCATCATCCTAAACAGAAACCTCACTGCCGTTAGTAATCACTTCCTTTTCTCCCCTATCCATGGTAGCCACCCATCTATTTTGTCTCTGAGTTTGCCTGTTTTGGACCTTTGCTATCAGTGGCATCAAGTAATATGTGGTCTTTCGCATCCAACTTCACATGGCATAGTTTTCCACATTCATTTATGTATTCATACTGTAGGGTGTAACCAACGCTTCTGACTTTATGACTGAATAAAATTCCATCGCGTGGGTGTACCACATTTGTTTGTCCATTCATCAGACTGGAATGGCTGAGTTACATAGTAACTACATAGCTAACTTTTTTTTAAATCTCTTATGATGCTGGGGATTGGACCGAGGGCCTTGTGTGTGAGAGCCAAGTGTTGTGCCCCCAACCCAGTATGTTTAACTTTTTCAGGAGCTACCAGACTGTTTGCCAAAGGAGTTGTACTATTTTACACTAAAGCTCACTGCAAGATCTACTTTATTTGAGGTTAATTGATGTTTCATTTGGATACAGCCTGAGGAACGGGCTTTTGCTGTCCAGATTGGACACTTCTCTCCAGCATTGTCTCTCTGTAGAGAGAATTGTGATCTGAATTTGGAACTCCCAAAGAGCATAGTTTTTCAACAGTTTTGAAAACAAGCTGGCTAGCATTCTTCTGTCTAGAAAGAAAAAGATTCTGATTATCAAATTTCCAAATTCCATAGCCACTTATGAAACACTTGCTTCTTATCCTAAAAGTCTGAACCAGCTGTAGGGGTGGAAGGAGGAAGGCACAGTGGTATAAATTAAAGGAAGTTGCAATATGTCCCCCTTTGTTCATCAGCGTGGGCTGCCATATCAAAATACCATAACAACAGGGATTTATTTTCATGGTTCTAGAAGGTGGGAAGTCCACCATCTTTAAAGGTACAGGTGGATTTGCTTCCTGGGCTGTCTTCCTGGTTTGTGCTTGGCTACCTTCTCTGTTTTTTTTTGTTTTTGAGACAAGGTCTCACTATGCAATTCAGGCTGGCCTTGAGCTCACTTTGTAGGCCAGGCTGGCCTCGAACTTGCAACAATCCTCCGATCCTCCTGCCTCAGCTTCTCGAGTGCTGGGATTACAGGCATGCGCCACCATGCCTGGCTATTGTTATATTCCCATGATGCAGTGGTGGTGAGGGGTGAGCCCTGGTCTCTCTTTTTTCTTCTTATAAGGACACAAATCCCATCAGGAGAACCTACCTTTGTGACCGCATTTAAACCCAATTTAGACGAGAGCTAAGGCCCCACCTCCAAACACCATCACACTGGGAGTAAGGACTTCTCAGGATGCAACGTTCAGTCCATCACACTTCCATATCACAGGAAATTCTTCATTTCACTTGTAACTGCATCGCTGGTCATAGCAATTAGAAGTTGTCTTCGTTACTTTCTCATTGCTGAGACAGAGTACGTGGCACCTACAATTTAAAAGGGGAAAGTCTTATTTTTTTTAAATTAATTTTATTGGTATACTTTTGATAGACATAATGATCACATTCATTGTAGGGAATTCGTATCTGTACATAATATACCTTGATTCTTTTTTTCCCCCCATTCTCCTCCTGGAAAGGTTTATTTTCGCTCACAGTTTGTAGAGGTTTCAGTCCATAGTCCACTGGCTGCAAGGAAGGGCGGGCGTCCCGGCAGCAGGAGGCATAGAGTGATCGATGGAGAGTATACCTTCCAGGCCACGCCCCAGTGACCACGCCCCCAGTGACCACACCCCCAATGACCACACCCCCCAGTGGCCCTCCTCTTCCCGCCAGACTTCACCTCCCAACATTACACCGAGCTACCGACTCTTGGGTGGACTAGTCCACGGACGAGTGTCACACACAGGACCCAATCACTTTCCCAAAGCCCTATCTATGAGTGCATGAGGCTTTGCCGGGGACATCTAACATAATGCAAGTTCATATGGGCTAATGGGTTTTTAGCATAGTTACTCATACCTTCCTGTGAATTGGTTAATTATGCTCTCCTTCTAACGCGTGGTAAATTATAGTTGGCTGAAACTAAGGTGTTCTCATAGAAGAAGGAGTACTTTAAAAGGATGGGAAAGGAGTGGTTTTTAGTCTTAGATGATTCAGAACACATTTCATGCATTACACTGTGGAGGTCACTTCCTTTCATAGCAGCTCCATGAGATAAGCACTGTTATTTTCACTTCGAAAGAAAGGAAATAGGTTCAACAAGTTAACTGTGTTACTGAAGGCCAGTTAACAGATCGTATGCAGAGAGCTGGGATTTTAACCGAAATCCATTTCATTCCAAAGAATCGGAGGGGTTTTGTATTGTTTGTTTTTTCTTCCCTGAACCAAAAGCAGACACTAGTGAGATTCTGGGACGAGGAAGGAGGAAATGGAGAGTGCAGGGGTGGGTGTCAAAGCCAAACGACATCTTCTCTACAGTTCTGTCACCACCACTCCCCCCCCCACACACACACACACACAATGGCTCAGCTGTGCAGAAGTGCTAATGAGTCCCTAAATGCTTCCTGGCTTAGTGCAGCTACTGTGGTAGACTAAGTTAGGACTCCGGCAACTGCTGCTGCCTGGGCCACACACACTCCAGCAAAACTTCCTTATTTGGAAACATCTTTTCCATCCTATTTGGGCGGAAAGACTACAATCTCGCATTTAAGAAAAACAGAATGCTCTGACCTGCATCAGAAGGGGCACTCAGAAACACTGAAAGCGGAGGAACACCAGAAAGATTGAGTGTTTTGCTAACCTGGCTCAAGGGGAAGGCAGTGGAGGCAGGGAGTGGGTCAACAGAGTGACGAGAGCTTGCAGGGGGCCCTTTTTCTTTAGCCCCGGAAAGATCTGAATTTGGAAATCTCAAAGAGTACATGTTTTCCAACAGCTTTAAAAAGAAGATGGGCGTGGCGGTGCATGTATGTAATTCCAGTACCCAGGAGGCTGAAGCAGGAGGATCAGCACAAGTTCAAGGCCAGCCTGAACTAAATATCAAGACCTTGTCTCAAAAAACAAAAACAAAAATAAAAGTAAGATTGTTAGCTGTACATAGTGGGGCACGCAGCACTCAGGAGGCTAAGGCAGGAGGATTGCAGGGAGTTTGAGCTTAGTTTGGGCTACAAAGTGATTCAAGGCCAGCCTACATTACACAGTGAGACCCTGCTCAAAAAACAAAACAGGCAAAAGGTTAGCATTCTTCTGTCTAGAAAGACAAAAGAATGAGCTGGTTGTGGTAGTATACATCTGTAATCTCGCCACCCTGCGAGGCTGAGACAGAAGGATGGCAAGTTTAAGGCCCAGCCAGGGCAACTTAGTGACTTAGCAAGAATCTATTTCAAAATGAAAAAAGGGCTGGAGATTTAGCTTAGTACAAAGGCCCTGGTTTCAATCCCCAGTACTACAAACGAACAAGCAAAAACAGAAGCTGTTCTAGTTAGCAAAAAGCTTTGAATCTCACTACTGTAATATAAAATTTAGCACCTTTTTGCTGGAGTTAAGAACATATATATTTTTAAATTGTTTATGCTAATCAAGATGGGAGAAGCCTGGGTGTCAAGCGAATATTCGTTTGCAGATATAATTTAGTATTTAACACTTTGAGCGGAAGGTGTTAGAAAAGATAGTTTCTGAAACGATAGGACGAAAAAAGTATTTGCAAGGTGGCCCAGTGGGGTGACCCTGAATGTCCACTCCTGTCACTCCTTGAAACTGCCTAAGGGGCAGCTTATTAGAAAGACAAAAAGAATAGATTTGAGTCTGAACTCTGCCACTAACTTGCGTGGTGATCTTAGGCAAATGACTGAACCTCTCTGGGCCTCGGTTTATTTCTGAGAGGGGCTTGCCCAGAACTGGCACTTTACGTTATCATTCCCATGGCAGTGGGAAGGGCTTGTCTGGTCTAACCTGTGGGTTTCTGGTGCCCTCCAGACCCACCCCTAGTTTCCTACTTCTTTTCTGGGTGCCCTCCTCACCCTTCTGGAGCCCGGAGTCTCCGTGTTACTTCCTGGCTTCCTGGAGCAACTTCCTGCAGTCCCATTGGTGTGCAAAGCATAAAAAGCCCAGTCCCTCCTGGGGAGCTTATCACCACCTACCTGTGCTGGGTGCTGTCACCCACCCAGCTCTGGGTCATGATGGGTTAAGTCAGATAGAATAAACCTCAGTGATATTTGCTGACATCTAAACAGCCTCATAAAATAAGATAATCAGAATCTACATACTTCTCCCCTGAAAGGTCCTGACATCTGCATTCTTCATTGAGGGGGAAGAACGGTGTTGATTGAAGGGGTTTCCTGTGCCCCTCGGATTACATAAAGAGTTGGGCAGCCCTCTCTGATCTGGGAGACCCGGGGAAGTTGTGTGATCTTGGCAGGAACAGTGCAAGCTCAAGATGGAGATTTTGTTTTCCTCTGCATTAATCTGCAGCTAATGCCAGTGCACATTATCCTTGTTTAATTACATTCACTAACCAACTGACACAACTTCCCCTGGGAAGAAGCTTATCCGACTCTGACTCATGCTTTACAGCGTGTTGGATTTGAGGAAATGGATAATATACGCCCCGCTGGCTTTGGAATTTTAAACAGAAACCCACATGCTGCTGAGTCTCCGGCTTACTCCCAAATATGGGAGAATGTGTGCCCCAGCCACGGTTGCAGGAGGCGCGCTCAGTGGGACAAACGGGAAACCCACAGAGCGCCTGAGTGCCTGGCCGGGGATGCCAGAGCCCGCAGCCCCTTAAAGGAGCAGGAACAACCTGAAGACATGCAGAGAGGGCTGTGTCCCTTTCCTTGAGTTATCTGGGGATTCACAGAAAGCAACATGCATCCCCCGCATCAGGGACCTAGGAGAGTCAACTTTTAAGAGGCTCTGGCGGCCGTGCTCACTGACACAGCATGTCAGAGCCAGAGGTGAAATGACTGGAACCGGGGCCAAGCTGCTTGGGTCACCTTGGTCCCGATCACGGTGAGAAACCCTTTGGTAACCAGCTGGCCTGGGACCAGTTGGGGCCATTGCTGCAGTATCTGAGGCAAGGGTCGTGGGGTCAGTGTCCCAGAGCAGGAGATGGCTCCTCAGCTGGAAGCCAAAAACAGGCTCGTGGTCCACTTCAGCCCCATCCTGCACACGCTGAGCTCCTCCTTCCTGACCGTAAGCTCCACACGCCCTCTTACAAACTCTGCACTAGGGCCGTCTTTGTGCTTCATTTTGAAAAAGCTTTACTTTTTAGAAAACTGTATTCGCTTATTTATGGACTATTTTGTGGCACTGGGGACTGAGCCCAGGCCCATTGTACTGAGCTACTTCCTAGCACCCCACCACTCCCCTTTGAGCCAGAGCCTCCCTAAGTGCTAAATTGCCCAGGCTGTTTGAACTTGCAATCCTTCTGCCTCAGCCTCCCAAGCTGGGGATTATAGGTGTGCATCACTACGCCCGGCTGATTGTGTTTATTTTTAAAATGCTATGTGCTCACTGAAAAGCAAACAATATGGAAATAGAGCATTAACAGCTCCCATTTGGAGCATTTTCTTTGCCTAAGACATTGTTCTAAAGTACTGAGTGCACATCGGTTTATATAAACCTCCCCAAATCCCTGTGAAGTAGGTATGTTATCATCCGCCCCGCTTACAGGTAAGAAAACTACAGTTTATATGGATGAAGTAACTCACCCAGAGTCACACAGCTAACAGATGACAAAGCTGAGATCTGAACCCAAGTGTTCAGCCTTAGGTTAATCCGGCCCTCGAGACTACAAGGGAGAACAATCAACCCCAACCCACCACTCAAAGATGACAACTATTAATGTGTTCCAGACAGCTCTTTACACACATATCTGTGGTATTTGTGTTATCCTGATCTCAGTAGAATAAAATCTGGGGTTGGTTGGGCTTCTGAGAAGAAGGAGTCACCAATTAAATACACCAGCTTTCTTTGAAAACTAACTAAGAGACCTGCAGTTGGCCAAGTCCTGCTCCCCCGTCTCTCTGGATGCATCACGCCAAGCACCTAGTGCGCACCCCGCAAGTGCTCTTCGGTGATGTTGGCACAGGCTCGTCTGCAGCCTTGGCGTCTGCTCCCAGGCAGACACCTAACACTGTGGGTTCCTTCTTGTCCAGATGGGGCCGGTGTGGCGTTGCAGCCAAAGAAGGAAGCACCTGCCTCGGTGAGCGTAGAAGATGCAGTTCTGGCACGCCATCACTCTGGAGAGCGAGACCGTCACGGCCTGGCATTAAAAGCCATGCTGTATTTATAACCTTCTTTCTCATGGTGAAAAGTTCTGGGGGCAAGGGTACTCACAGGCCAGGTTGGGTGTGTGTTCCAGGAGTGGGCAGTGGAGTAACTGCCGCATGACTTTATTTCAGCAGCACTTCTGGAGCTCACAGGAGCTCCGTGGTCTGGGCCAGTGTGGCTTCAGTAGCCAGTGGTGGGAATGACTTCAGGGGCAGTGACAGCTCCCTGCCTGGTCATGAGCTCTCGCTGAGCGAGAAGAGCGGATGCTTGTCACGTCAAGGCAGGCCATGACAGAAGGGAGAGAGGGACTGGAGAAACCTGTTCCTGCCTCCTGCTACCAGCACCTCCCCAGGTGAACACACACAAAGCCACACATGCTTCCTCGTTTTTCCCCTTATTTTTTTTTTTTTTTTTTCACTGCTGGAGATGCAATCCAGGAGCTATAGTACTAG